CTGAATGAAGGCAGATTCATAAATGAATCATCGCTGTATAGCAGATAAGAATCACTGATTCCAATGAAGAAACAACCACCGACAGAGGGTGTAAACAAAGAGCAAAACATGCTTTCTCTTCGTTCAGATTTCATTTGGCTTTTTAAAAAACATAGCTTGGGGTGTCTGGTAGGGAATTTGCGGAGTTGGAAAATCTGCTTTGGAAAAAACCAACCCTGGGTATGCAAATGGAAACACTGGTATGGATCAGGCCCTGATTGAGAGCCAAGAAGAGGTAGATCCTTCAGCTCATATGCAGGTTCCCAGTCTGAGCTGCTGCTTCTCTGAAGCAATAGCTGTCAATTAAGCTTCAGTCAATCTCTGCCCTGAGAACAAATGCCTTGGAATTCAGGAAATGTGTGTTTCTCTCCTTTCCACAGCATATTTGAAAGTCTGTCTGTCTTTACTCTAAGGCCCCAAGTCGTGTAAGACTTTGTACATGATTTGTTTTATAAATAATATTTATGCATGTATTATATTTTTATACCAAACCGCCAGTCAGGTTATCCCCGATGGTTTACAAAGACATTTCAGTGCAAAATACCAGTTCTCTCTCTCAATATATCTTCTTTCGTAGTGACTCACATGTTCCAAAATGGCAGTTTTAAATGCTTGTGTGAGTGAATCAAGTATGTTTCTCATGCACATTTAACCCAGGGCCTTGAATTGTGTCTGGGGGAAAAACTGGTTCAGCAGTTCAGGAGCATTACCAGCCTCTTTCTCTTAGCCTGCCTAGCCCAACCCAGAGGGTTGTTGTGAGGGTCAAACCTAAACTCCCTGGAGAAACAATGCAGTTATGAATAACAGGGAAGTAAAAGTGGCTGGAGCAACAATTAGGAAAAGCATGGGAGGGCTGCCTCTTCTGAGGAGTCCTTTTATTGTCTAAAGAAAGATCCTCCCTTCATTTACTTGTGAATGGGGCAAGCATGATATAAATGGCCTGTTATGTCAGGTTTATCCATTAGAACCAATTCATATGGTCATTCTGTAAAGAGAGCAAAGATTGAAGAAGATCCTTAAGTCTCTAGCGCTTTATCACCAAAATGCAATCAAACCCAGTCCATGGAACTTTCCACTGCTCAGAGTAATGTGTAGCGCTGGAGTTACTGTGGTGTAGCAATTACCAGGCATAAAACGGTGAGCTGGGGAATGAAACAAGATGGAGTAAATAAGACATTCCTAAAATGAGAACATCACAACAGTCTGCAGAAGGACATAAGAAGCTGCCTTAATGCACATCGGGCTATTGATTCATCTAGCTCATCACTGTCTATATCGGGGTTGGGAATCTGTGACCCTCCTCAAAGTTTGTTTTTAAATACTTCCTGCCAGTGGTGAAATGGGCACAGAAAACTCATATAATGGATCCCAATTCTCCCTACAGAGAAGGAACTTATGATGGTAAGTACCAACATTCACATCCCTGCCCACTGGCTATGCTGGCTGAGCCTGATGGCAGTTGAACAACACCTGGAAAGCCACAAGTTCCCATGCTTGGTCTACACTGACTAGCAGCAGCTCTCTAGAGTATCAGGCAGGAGTCCTTCCAACCCCAGGCCTACCAGGAGAAATCAGGGATGGAGCCTGGGACTTTCTGCATGCAAAGCCAGCTCTCTCTCTCTCTCAGCTATTACCCTTTCCTTGAATATTATTTAAAAGCAAATAGGAAAACAGAACTGTGAGTCTTGATCATCAGGAGGCTGTGCCTGTGGAGGCGAGAGTCTTGCTAAAGCAGGTCAAGACTGGCCCAGACCCCCAGCTATGGAGCAGCCTGCTAGGACTGGATGAGTTTGATGTGAGCAAACCCAGATCCTGTGATTATCAACTAAGGCCCTTCTTCATGTGTCCTTTCACAGAAAGTCCAGAGGATGGCAACACAATTGGCCTTTTCAGTGGTGGCTCCCCTCTTGCGGAATTCGTCAGACAAAACATATTTCTTTTTCTGCCAGGCCTTTCACTTTTAATTATCACTAGCCTCACTGAGTGCACCGGATGCCAGAAGCAGCTTAGTCAAGCTGGCAACATGACCCGGAAAACTATCTGCGGAAGTGGACAAACGCCGGCTCCCTCAGCCTTTAAAGTGAGATGAGAGCCACAACCCCAGAGTCATTCGTGACTGGACTTAACTGTCAGGGGTCCCTTTACCTTTACCTTTCGGACGCGGGTGGAGCTGTGGTTTAAACCACTGTGCTGCTTGGATTTGCCAACCGGAAGGTTGGCAGTTCGAGGCCCTGCAACAGAGTGAGCTCCTGTTGCTCAGTCCCAGCTCCTGCCAGCCTTGCAGTTCGAAAGCACGCAGTGCAAGTAGATAAATAGGTATCGCTTCGGCGGGAAGGTAAACAGTGTTTCCGTGCGCTGCTCTGGCTTTGCCAGAAGTGGCTTAGTCATGCTGGCCACATGACCTGGAAAAACTGTCTGTGGAAGCGGACAAACGCCGTCTCCCTTGACCTTTAAAGCGAGATGAGCGCCGCACCCTGGAGTCGTTCGCAACTGGACTTAACTGGACGCAACTGACTTACCTTTACCTTTAAAAACAGGGTTGTCTTTTAGATTTTTCTTTGTTTTCCTGTATGCTACTATTAAGGTATGTGTTTGTTTGTTTGTTTATATATTGTAAGTATTGTATATATATGATATATTTGAGATACTTCAGTAAAAGGGGGGAAAGCGATCAATAAATTTAATAAAATAATAATACAGAATGTGGTGGAGGACCGTACTGGGGGATGTGGCTGTCCACATTCTTAGTCTTTGGGGGAGCCTGTCAGCAAGGATGAGAATGAGATACTAGAGGCAAACTTCCAGGAATGGTAAAGGTGTTAGGAAAAGCAGTTCTGAGAGCTGAAGGATGCAACTTTGAGGAATAATGTCTTGTAATGTGATACCAAAGAAGAGAGCGCACAGGAGGAAGCAAGAACAGCCCTGTTGGAAAGCAGTGACCTGGAGGCAGAAAACCCTGGAGCCGTGAGTGAAGAAAAACCCTTTGGCCTTCACGCCAAGTGAAGCTCCGGTGAAGCTCTAAATGCTGTACTCTATCAGCCCCAAGCAGCATGACCAAGGGCCAAAGAGCAGAGAAAAAACTAGGCTTTAGACACTGTTTGGCACACACACACCCCATGTGTACACATACACAGGTTGGGAGCCTCAATGATGTCCCACTGGAGGCTTTACCCAGGGCAAAAAAGAAAACCTGGCTAGCCCTCCCCCCATAACTACAGCACTGCCAGGGATGATCGATGTTGTATCTGGAGGATGGTGAGTTCTGTGCCCTTGCTTTACTAGGTAGGACCATGGCCCTATAGCTGGTTTACCCCAGAGGCAGACCCCAACATCAGACATAACCCAAAGCTAGAAAGGAAGGGCACGGTGGTTTGGGTGAGACGTGAGTGCTTGGGGGACTGGGCAGACAGTGAGGGGAAGTGGGTTGTTTGGATGAGCCAGAAGGCAGTGGGTTTTGGGCAAGCTGGAAGGAGGAGGGAGGGGCAGAAGGAGTTGATGAGGTGTAAAAGGAGGGGAGGGACGTGGGTGGCGCTGTGGGTTAAACCACAGAGCCTAGGACTTGCCTATCAGAAGGTCAGTGGTTTGAATCCCCACGACGGGGTGAGCTCCCGTTGTTCGGTCCCTGCTCCTGCCAACCTAGCAGTTCGAAAGCACATAGAGTAGCAAGTAGAGAAATTGGTACCACTCCGGTGGGAAGGTAAACGGCGTTTCCGCACACTGCTCTGGTTCGCCAGAAGCGGCTTAGTCATGCTGGTCACATGACCTGGAAGCTGTACACCGGCTCCCTCGGCCAGTAAAGCGAGATGAGCGCCGCAACCCCAGAGTCGGTCATGACTGGACCTAATGGTCAGGGGTCCTTTACCTTTACCTTTTAAAAGGAGGGGAGCTTAGTCATGTGCAAAGGGAGAGGGTTGGCAAGGGGCTGGATAGGTGAGATGGAGAGTGAAGCAAGTGAGAGCAGCATCCCTAGTTCTATATACAGGTGGTGCTCTAGTCTAAAGCACTAAGCCTCTTGGACTTGCCGAAGGTTGGTGGTTCGTATCCCTGTGACGGTATGAGCTCCCATTGCTCTGTCCCAGCTCCTGCCAACCTAGCAGTTCGAAAGCATAGCAGTGCAAGTAGATAAATAGTACCAGTAAACGGCGTTTCTGTGCGCTCTGGTTTCCGTCATGGTGTTCTGTTGCTCCAGAAGCGGTTTAGTCATACTGGCCAAATAATAATAATAATAATAATAATAATAATAATAATAATTTAATATTAATAACATGACCTGGAAAGCTGTCTGTGGACAAATGCCAGCTCCCTCAGCCTGAAAGTAAGATGAGCGCCACAACCCCATAGTTGCCTTTGACTGGACTTAACCATCCAAGGGTCCTTTACTTTTTTCCTTTTATATGAAAAGAAAATGAGTAAATAGAGCTCCTGAGTCCTAATACTGAAAGGGGGGGGGGATTATGAAAGTACACTGAAGAAAGTGTGTGACAAAAAGTATTTAGATTATTATGAACCCTAGCAATTGACATGTTCTTTCATGAGCTGGCTTAACAAGTCTGCCTCAACCCAGATTCTTCTGAGATTTTTCAGTCTGAGCCCACTTGCAGCATTTATCCCCGTATAATCAGTGCTCTCTATCTTAAGATAGCATAACTGTGACCATTTTTGTAACTCCCACACTGTGGAAGTAGTAGTAACCACAATAACAAATGGAACAACAATTAAAAGCAAGGAACGAGCATACAATATAAGGCATACAAGCGCAACATCTTTCTGTTTACTAAGGACACATAGTATTATAACTCCTGTTTTTTGAAAAAGAAGAAACGAGGCTTGGTTAATGAAACAGTTCATAGTGGACTTATTTGCATTTTTACCAACTAGGGAGGACTTAGCCCCTCCCTTGCCAAAGAATCTGGGGTGGGACCTTTGCAGGTTTTCTTTTTAAACGTTATGCTCCAGGCAGTGGAGCAGAAAGGGTCTGTTAAGGCAGCTGGGATACAAGCAGCAGCAGAACATCTACTGCATTTCAAATGCTTTTGCTTTCCTGTAAGCCTCAGAGATTTAGCCAACTTTTCATCAGCATTTTTCTTCAGAAGACAGGATACACCTTTTCCTCTTTCTAAAAGAAGGAACTGATCTGCCTGCAATCAGAAGCAACTGCTTTCAGTATCTCAGTTTTTGCTACTTGATTTGTGATACATTTAGCGCAAGAATTCTTCACCGGAATTATCCACTTTCCTTGATGATGAAGAAAAGCTTGTAAGTAGCTAGCCTGAGACTTTGCATGTAAGTTTTGATATGTTAAAAAGTCAAGGAATGTAAATTTATGTTAGCAAATTTGTTGTATAGTCTTCTAAAAGGCTTCGCAGCCGGGGCTGATTTGTTCAGTGGTTATGTTGCCTCTCTGTAGTTTGCTCTTGCAATATATATAAACAGACCTGTGCCATAAACCCTTCCTGTCATATGACAGCTGATATGTGAAACTCTGAGTGATGCAACAAGCAAGGTATTCATAAAGCAGAAATCTTTTCAATCTTAGCTGAATGACCAAGGCTTTCCCTATGTTTGTTTTTTCTCCGTGTTATCGGAGGAGGAAGAGAAGCTCATTACCAGAACAATTATTAACTGCCATTTCTGACTGAGCTATGATAAGACAATTGAAATGTGCACCTTTATCATGCTGGGATCTTAGAATCATAGAATCATAGAACTGTAGAGTTGGAAGGGACCCTGAGGATCATCTAGTCCAACCCCCTGCAATGCAGGAATATGCAGCTGGTCCATACAGGGATCGAACCTGCAACCTTGGCGTTATCAGCACCATGGTCTAACCAACTGAGCTATCCAGGCTCTTCATCTTGGCAAAACCATGTGAGCATCTTGGGACTTTCATGCCTAGATATCAGAATGCCTGAGATTTACTACATGATTACAACTATTCACTAGCTTCACAGCATCTACACCATGCATTTAAGGCATTCAAATGTCACACCAAATACCACACTCATATAACAGTCACACCTTCCCCCAGAGAAGTCAGGGAAGTCGCAGCTCTCTGAACAACTCTCTGTGCACTTGACAAACTACATTTTACAGGATTATTTGAGGAAAGTTGTGACTGTTTAAAGTGGTATAATGGTGCTTTAAATGTATAGTGTCATGTGACCCATATTGTTATGGCTTCTGCTCAACCACTCTTAATGGCTTATCCATGCTTTAAAGCTCTGTGTCCGAGCACTTTTCTTTTTTCTTGCTTACTTTCTTTTTTGCTCTGGAGCCTTCCCCAAGAAAACCTGCTCTTTACTGCTGAATCAGAGCAAACAGCAATCCGTGGAAACCCCAAATTTCCATTTGGTGTGCTTCTGCTTTGAAGACTGTGCTTTTGTGGGGAAAGCGACATGGTGGGGGGAAAAGAGAGTGACTAGACACAGAGCTTTAATGTGCAAACGTGTGTCTGGAAAGCACAGGGCTAAGGGTAAGTATGGATAAACCCTTATATTAAGCACCTTACTAGTCCATAGTCCAGAATGATCATGGGAACCCAGGAAGCAGTCATGATACAGAGGTAAGATTATTGGTCCCCAGCACAACCTGGAAATGCAAGGGATTGAACCTGCAAAGCTGTGACACTAGGTGTCTCCAAGGCAAGGCAAGAAGTGAAGGAGCTGCACATACTTGTCAATGGATGTTTCATCAGGGAGTCTTATTAATTAAGACATGGTTTCCTGGGAGTTGGGGATCTTGGTGTGTTTGGATGTGGTACCCATGGCACTTGGCTGGAGCTATTCCCATATTGATCTTTCTCCAGATCTAATGTGGAACAGCGGATCTGTTGCATAGCAGGACTGCCTTTTTGTACCTACATCTGCTCTATTTGTGGATCCACAAATGAGGCAACTGGAACAAAGCCAGTGTAAGTCTCTCTCACCCAAAGGAAACCAGGCCAGTTAGAATTGGCCCAGAACTTTCCATTGACGGAGGAAGTGAGAAGCACATAACCATCTTTTTCTCTGCATGTACCAATTGCACTAGAGTGATAATTCCCAGTGGTACTTGCTTAGCAAGCGGACTGCCATTCTTCATTTTTTTTGCTTCACATGAGACTTAACAGAGTTGCTCATAAATGGCAAAGAACATCTGTTGTTTTTCTAATAGAGTTGCATCAAATAATCTCACTCAGCTGATGGTAAGGCTTATGTTGAACAATGCCTTCTCCATGCTGTCACCTCACTATCACCCCTAAATTTGCTCTGGAGGGTTCTCTAGTCCTTCTAGGCCAAATTTAGGGAGGGGTTCAAGGGACTGTGGAGGTAAATCACTGAAAACAAGTTCCCAGAATTCTCAGTGAAGAGGGAGTGGTTGTTAAACCGCTCTGCAAATTGTAGCTCTGTGAGGGGAACAGATGTCTCCTAACAACTCTTACCACCTTTAAGAAGCCACAGCTCCCAGAATTCCTTGGGGAACTGATGACTGCTTAAAGTGGTATGATACTGCTTTAAATGTAGAGCATGAATGTACAGTGTGTACAGGCTGCCCAGTGTCTTCCTTCTGTGTGGAGGAGGTGATACAGTTTTGCCTACATAAGCAACAACACTTGGAGAATTGGGTTGTTGTCATTATTTTTAATGATTTTAATACTGGTTATTTAAAATATAACACAAGGGGAGGTGAAAGAAGCAATGTTGGCTCCCATTACCAAGAAGAATATTCCATCAAGAAAAGATAATAATAATCCAACCACCATAATTTAAATATATACAAGAATATAAGCTGTCCATAGGTCCAAGATTAATGATTAAAATAAATCCATTCAAATTTAGAAAGAGCAGTGCAATACAACCTTGAAGTATAAGTCTCTTTGCAACCGCAATGGCTCGTCTGTGAGTTCCTACATCATAGGAATCTAGTTTAAAAGTATGTGAACTTCTGTGGATATCAAAGATATTTCCAAAAGGAAGTTAATACAAAAAGCTGTTTCTGGCCAAAAGTGAGACACCACAGGGCACTGCAACATCATATGTTGCAATGAGACATTATCATCATTACATCACCAGTGTCTGTCTGAACCAACCCTTCCTGTAAAGACACTGCTGAGTTCAGTATACCCAAAACATCATTGTTGTGTTGCTGAAGAAGTCTCAATTTTAAAACCATCATTAGCGTAGATTCTAATGTTGTTCCTTAAGCACTTTGAGTATCCACTTTACGACATTCCAATAAATAATTATTTTTAAAAAACCAGCAACTACAGGTTTAACTTTCTGTAATGTAGGGATGCCATATTTCAAAAAGTGAAAATCTGGTCAGAAAAGTTGTTGAGCTGTTTTTGCAAAATCGTAAAGAAACTGGACATTTTAAAGCTATTTTTGAGGAAAACGCGGGGGGGGGGGGGGACAAAAGCGACATTGGTTGCCGTATGTCCGGATTTTCCCAGGCATTTGGCTGATTTCTGCCAGGAAACTACTTTCGACTGCAGTATTCCATGTATGTCCAGGAAATTCAGGACGTATGGCAACTCTATAATGATTCAATTATTCCCTCCACCAATGCAGCAGATTCTGAAGCTGACCGTTGATAAGCAGGCACCAAAAGGTGCTGTCACTGAAGATATTACCATTCAGCCGTGGTTATAGTAGTCCCTTTCTTCTTATATTCGTAGACCTTAGGAACATCAGAAATAGAAAAACAGAGGTGCTTGGAGAATCAAGTTGGAAATATAAAAAAAAGATGTCTCCTTTTAGCACTCCTGTAAACATTCTGAAAATATCAAGAATGTGGAAGGAGATGTGCAGAGGTATCTTTTTGTAACACCTGGAGGCTGATTTGTTAGGCAAATAGGCCCATCAATCTCAGCCAGCTTCCACCTGTCTGCTGTTCTTACATTCACTCCAGGGGGTGGCACTGGATGTCAACTTCCTCCTCTTAAGTTTCAGTATTCCTGTTTTAGAGCTCAGTAGGACAAAGGCAAAACTAGAGTTAGTTGGCTCTATTTTTCATTGGCACTGCCTCCAGCTACTGTTGGCATCTCTGCTTTCTGCACTACCAGGGCTCATCGACACTTCCGCTTCTCCCATTCCTAGAAAGCACAAGTCCAATAAATTTTCCACTTGCCCTGCATCTTTTCCAGGGAAAACCCACCCTTTAGCCCTAAACTAGAGAAAACTCGAATTGCCATTTGCTCCGACTGAGCACTAAAGAGCAGTTTTCCCTGGGGGAAACCAGAAGGATAAGTGGAAGTGTGGATAAGCCCCCCATCTCCATGGGTCCCAACCACCACTGCCTTTGTTTGGTGGGGGTGTGCATGCTTTTTGCATTAAAAGAGCTTTGAAGGGAAGAAGGATCTGGGTAAATAGTTTGCCATCTTTTCATCCATTGAAGCCGGGTGCAGATGGTATAATGAAGTGGGATTGTGGTTGTGCCTGCTAGTCCTGGACCCTTGCATTAAGTTATAGCATCTGTAAGGAGGGCAGATGTACATGGATACCAATGTCCAACGTGATGGATTGTGTGATGTCTACATTGCAAATTATGTGGTGTAAAAATCACATCATTCCTTCCAAGCCCCTCCTTTGTGAGGGTTTATCATGAGTTACTGACATTCAGTTAATACAGTATCTGTATTTTTGTTCTGTTATGGTACAACTTTAACTGAGCTTGTAGTGCTTTTGATTTTGGTGCATTGGATGCAAAAAAGTATAGATATAGATAAAGAAGCAATGCATGCAAAGTGTTCAAGGAGGTGCAGCTGGCAGACATGATTACTTCACTCCTGATATTGATTATGCAGGGGATTAAAATTTGCCCAGGAAGAAATCTTTAGAACAATCGATCCCACAATTATATATATATATATATATATATATATATATATATATATATGCACCCATGTTTAACTCTCCCATTGAAACAGCCCATGAGACTTGAGTATGTTGAAATTTAGGCTTGAACTTGTCCTTTTTTTTTTTTTTTGGTAATAACCGAGTGCATTTCCCCAAGAAGCAAGTTAGTTCCTCAGAAAGGCATGTGAAGGACAAGTTCCTCTTACGTGAACTTAGGAAACCGTCTTACATAAAGTCTGACCACTAGTCCATCTAGTTCAGTATTGTTGACACTTGGGCTTATCCACACTTCCTTTTGCCCCACTGCTTTCCCTGGGGGGAAACAGCACTTTAGCACTCATTCAGAGCAAACAGCAATTCAGGTTTCCTCCAGATTGACGTTTGCTCCAGTTTAGAGCTAAAGAGCAGGTTTTCCCTCAGAAAGGAACGGGGCAAGAAGGAAACTGCTTGGATCTGTGCCTAGAAAGCATGGATCAAGTGGAAAACCACTGGGCTGTGCTTTCTAGGCATGTGATAAGCAGAAGTGTGGATGAGCCCACAGATTGCCAGAAGCAATTGATAAGATTTCACATAGAGGTTTTTCCAAATCCCACCTTTTTGGCAAAAACTGTGGTATAAACAATAAATCCTGGGAAGATGAATGCTCTTTGAGTTGGTGGTTCCCATGCGCGGGAGACAGGCAAGTTACCCATTCTGTATGAGAATGTGCTCCCTCTGAAGGAGCAGGTATGTAGCTTGGGGGTACTGCTGTATACACTCACTGCCCACATGTCCTCTGTGTCAGGAGCACCTTTTACTATCTTTGCCTGGTTTGCCAGCTGCAGACATATCTGGGCATGGATAGCCTGACCACTGTGGTTTGTGGGCTGCTAATTGCAAGGCTGGATTACTGGAATGTGCTCTATGTGGGACTGCCCTTGGAACCAGTGCAGAAGCACTTGCTGGTGCAGAATGCAGCAGCCATAATGCCAATGGGGTAACGTGGTCAACAATATGTGTCACCATTGTTAAAAAATCTGCACTTCTGAGCCAGGTTCAAGACCCTTGTATTAATGTACAAAACCCTAAATAACTTTGGTCCAAGATATCTTAGGGACCTCCTGAAGCCTAATATCCCAGCTCAATCTCTATGATCTTGTATGGGAGCAATGCTGGCTGTGCACTGAATTGGCGAGGCTCACGTGATACTGACATGAAATTGAGTTTATATGGTCATTGACCCAGCTCTGAGGAATGCTCTTCCAATACAAACTAGGCAGGCATTTTCTGCCTTGACCTTTAAATATTTGCAGAACACTTTTCTTTAGTGCCAGGCTTACGCAGGCAATTCAGGTGGGCACTTTTGTTAATAGTTAGTTGGTGATCTGGTTGGTTTTTACGGTATTTGGTTTTTTAAAAGTGGTTTTGATTTGTGTGTGTGTGTGTGTGTGTGTAATTGTTGTAAACCATTCTTTAAAATGAAATTGTATTTTTATAAATACATACCAGGAGATGTCCCCTTCTTCGTGTGCTCCCTCCTCAAGAGGTCAGGAGGGTGGTAACATGAGAACGGGCCTTCTCTGCAGTGGCTCCCCATCTGTGGAATGCTCTCCCCAGGGAAGTTCGCCTGGTACCTTCATTATGCACCTTTAGGCACCAGGCAAAAACGTTCCTTTTTAACCAGGCCTTTGCCTGACCTGATCTACATCCTATACCCTTTTTAAAATGCTAGTTCTTTTTAGGGGGTGTCTATTGGGTTGTCGTTTGTATTTTGATTTTATATATGTGATCTTTTATGTGAACCACCCTGAGACCTTCTGGTATAGGGCGGTATAGAAATTAAATAAAGAAATAAATGTCAGGGATTGAACCTGGGACCTTCTGCATTAAAAGCAGAAAGGTGTTTATTATGGGATGGGTGCTGATGCATGCATTTTTTTTCACAGTATCTACACAATGCCATTGGCATCAGAATGTCAGCCCTCATCCCCTACATTTACAGTGGTACCTCGCAAGACGAATGCCTTCCAAGACGAAAAACTCGCAAGACGAAAGAGTTTTTGGTTTTTTGAGTTGCTTCGCAAGACGAATTTCCCAATGGGCTTACTTCGCAAGGCGAAAACGTCTTGCAAGTTTGTTTCCTTTTTCTTAAAACCGTTAATACCCAGGGTGCATTGCTTCGCAAGACGAAAAATTTGCAAGACGAAGAAACTCGCAGAACAAATTAATTTCGTCTTGCGAGGCACCACTGTATTCCTGATTCTCCCTTTCCTTTGAAAATCCAATAAGACATAAAATCATGTCACCACAATCACCAGCTTGCAATATCTGAATGACTTATTTTCAATATTACCTAAGCTCCAAGCTAGAAGCACCCAAAGTAAATTAGATGGAACAGGATAGGTAAGGAAATGTAAGTCTGAAGAGTTGCTAACATGAAAGAATTATCTTGAAAATATACAAATATAAAAAATACAGTCTGATAAGGTTAAATGTAATGAATAACTATATTGTAATAGCTGGCCTGCTGGTGCAAAAAATAAAATTTTAGAGAAGGTTTGGGAGAAAGAGTACATTTTATGATATCAAAGATACGTCTACTGGGAAACTTTTGCAAAATAACAGCTAGATGGCACACGGCAGTTGAAAGAGATATGACTAGTTGGAAACGTAAACATTGTAATACACACAGGAATGGATAGTCTGTGAAAATATCCAGTTATTCAAATGTTTGGGGTTCAGAGATTGAGGAAGATCAAGGAGAAGAGCAGACTGCATATGGGCAGAACTGGGACAGAAAATAAGAATTATATTATTAAATGACTGATGGCAGAAAAACTATGTGCTTGTCCACACTTCTGCTTGTCCTGTGCCTTAAAAACATGGGTTTAAGAGCTTTCCCCCTTGTCCCACACTTTCTAGGCATGAGTCCAAACAGTTTTTCATTTGTCCCGCCACGGGAAAACCCACTGTTTACCCCTGAATTGGAACATACATCAATCCACAGAAACATCTTTAGCCATTTGTTCTGACTCAGCAGTAAACAGCCAGTTTTCCTGAAAGAAAGCGGTGGAATAAGCGGTGGAATAAGCAGTGTGGACGAGCCCTATAAGTTGGTCAACTCTGGGGAAGTTAGAAATACCAAAAGCAAAGGAATTTCACTACAGATTTGTATAAATATTAAGCTATCTTTAGCTCCGATTCTTGGATTGCAGGGGGTTGGATTAGATGCCTCTTGAGGTCCCTTCCAGCTCTACAATTCTAGGATTCCATAACTAGGCACCCAGTGAAACCAGCATAATAAAACCAGAGGTGACTAACCTGTGACCCTGGATTATAAATTCTGTCATCCCACACCCTGGACCATTCTGGCTGGGTCTGATGGGAGTTGTAGACGAACAATGTGTGGAGAGCCCCAGGTTCCCACCCCCCACTGAGACAGACCCTATCATCAATCAGTGATTACTCATTATGAGGGCAATTTGGAACTTCTATGTGTGCAGGACTCCACTGTGGCACAATACCACTGAATACCAGTTGCTGGCAGGTGCACAATGAGAGCAGCTATTGCCTTTAACATAATGATGGGAGACTGGGACAGCTGTAGTGTTATGTACTGAAGTTCTCACCCTGGGCCAGCAGGGGGATACTGTAGATAGTTCAGGTCCACATATGCAAATAAGGTTTCCAAAGTGACGTTCAGTGATTGGATAGTTACAGAAAATGGTTACTGTTACGTTCTAGTGGAGCTCTATGTAAGCAGGCTGGCTGAACCCTTCAGTTCTGTTCTGGCCTGTGAATAAACAAGAGCTGTTTGAAGAATCGCTGTGCCGTCTGATATGTTCACCCACAACTTAACATGTAGCCCTCTAGATGATGTTGGATTACAACCAGTGCTTTTTTCTGGGGGTATTCAAAGGTACCCAATACCGACACACACACCCCGTGTTAAAAGTGGCACTTATTGCAATGACTTCATGGTGAGTAGTAGCACCTTTTTTTCCTTTTCCTTTTAAAAAAAGCACTGATTACAACTCCCATTATCCCTAACCATTGGTCATGCTGGCTGGGACTGATGGAAGTTGGAAACCTCTTCCGAGCTGAAACCTTACAAACCCTCCTAGCCAGTAAAAGCCCTAGACGACCACAGTATCTTTACTGGAAAACTATCTGGGAGAAGAAGGTGTTTGCCTTCACATTAAAACACTTCCGTTGCCCTATCACTGCAGCCGAAGAAAAGTTAGCTGTCGTTTGTATGATTTTTGTTATCATTACCTAGAAATTCCACTGATTTTTATGAGGCCATAAAAATGACCTCTTATAAATGGAACCAGATAATGTAGAATAGCTTTCATAGCTCCACCACTGAAGATATCTACCGTATATACTCGAGTATAAGCCAACCCGAATATAAGCCAAGGCACCTAATTTTAGCACAAAAAACTGGGAAAACTTATTGACTCGAGTATAAGTCGGTTCACCACACCACAAACCAGGTGGTGGCGGCAGTGGAGGAGGAAGAACAAGCAGCCTGAAAGGGCTCCTTTCGGGCCGCTTGTCCCTCCACCGCTGCCTCTGCCACTCACAAGAGCAGGCATAGGAGCTGTGATTGGGAGAGGCACAGTGCTGCACAGTGCCTCTCCCAACTGCGGCTCCTGTGCCTGCCCTTGTGAGAGGAGGGGGCCGCTGGCAGGACCAGCAGCAAGAAAGGGCTCCATTCAGGCCACTCATCTCTCCACCGCTGCTGCCCGCCTCACTCGAGTATAAGCTGAGGGGGGCTTTTTCAGCATAAAAAATTTGCTGAAAAAGTCAGCTTATATTCAAGTATATACGGTAAGTTAATACGTGCAGTTAGACACCACCCTTCTAACAAAATGAATATTATTCCCAGATTCATTTGTATCCTGAGAGGACTATAAAAACTGGGTTTTTATATCTGGATCATATTCAAAAGAAATAAATTCCTTGTTTAGGAAATGCCTTAGGGGCTCAGCAACACCAAGAATATCCTTGCAGAAAATGAAGCTACAAATTAAAGAAGACGGTTTTGAAATCCCAAATTTGCTATGCTTACCTACTGTCAAGTACTAAATTTAGGAATCCCACTGTTGGCCCTAATTTTCCAATGTGGGCAACCCACAGCGCCACCCGCGTCCCAATATGGAATATATTAGCTAATAAAAACAAATTTGATCCATTTTCACATGCTAAACTTACTCTGTGGTGAAACCCCACACTAAGCATTGCAAAAAAGATGGTGATATGGAAAAATTGGAGGAAAGCAGGTGTATTGGCATTGCACCAACTGATAGATGGGGAAGATGGAATTTTATACTTTTGCTATTTTAAGACAAAAATATTGTCTATCAGATGCAGCCCAATGGCAATATCTTCAATTACAACATCTATTACAACAAGTGTGTTTGAGCCGTTCGAAAGCACGTCAAAGTGCAAGTAGATAATTAGGTACCGCTCCGGCGGGAAGGTAAACTACGTTTCCGTGCGCTTCTCTGGTTCACGAGAAGCAGCTTAGTCATGCTGGCCACATGACCCGGAAGCTGTACGCCAGCTCCCTCGGCCAGTAAAGCGAGATGAGCACCGCAACCCCAGAGTCGGCCACGATTGGACTTTAGGGTCAGGGGTCCCTTTACCTTTACCTTAAGTTCAATATACAGACTGTAAAAGATGATTGGAACTTTCATTATTACCCAGATAGTGGGAAAATGTATTAGCTTCAATACCTAAGGTGTAATTAGTTTTAAAATTAGGACTAATGCAATAGAAAATAATATTTAGAGTTTATTGGACCCCTTTATGGTTGTATAAAAAAGGGTTAGCTAAGATAGCTCAGTGTTGGAGATGTGGCAAGGACAATGCCTCTCTGAAACATATGTTCGTACAGTGTTCTTTAATTAACAAGTTTTGAGAGAAAGTTCTGCACTGGGTAACTATGACTGTGCAGAAAAAGTTAAATCTTTCAGCAGAGAATCTTTTATTGAACTATATACCTGCAGTATGGGAATTATCAACGGGACAATGGAAATGGATTTCCCGTGCCCTAATGGTGGCCAAGATATTGATATTGAGGAAGCCAAGATATTGATATTGAGGAACTGGAAAAAGAAAGATATGATACTCCTTCAATCAATGGATTGATATGACATCACTGGCAATTTATGAACAGATTGCTTATCGGTACAGACTCTGTATGGATAAATACGATAACATTTGGAATGAATTTATACAAAATGTAGTAGGCTATTAGCATTTACATAAGCACTAGGACAATAACACTATACCAATTTATTTAAAAATGCATGGGAATGTCGTATATTGCTCGCTTTTTGTATATTTTCACTTTTATATGTATCTTTGTTGTTCACTTTCCTCCTTCTTTTTCTGTATCACTTTCTTTCTTTTAATGGAAATCACCTTAAAAAATTATAAATATTAAAAGCATCCTTCAAACACTGTGGGATCCATTGGCTGAAATCTCCACAGTGTGAGAGGTTTCACTTAATCTGAAAAATGCAGTTAGTGCACAACGCTGCGCCATGGTTGCTGACAGAAGTAAGAACCTTTCGGCATATAACACCTCTGCTTGGAGATCTGCACTGGTTCCCGATTCGTTTCAGGACCACATTCAAGGTGTTGCTGTTGGTATAACAAAGCCCTTCATGTGTACTTGCAGCATTGCCTTGGCCCATATGTGCCCACTCGACCCCTTTGATCTGCAAAACTAGCCCTGATACAGGTGCCACTCATTCCGCAGTTGTAAGAAATTGGTCTTTTAGTGTGGCAGGTCACACTGCCTGTAGATGTGAGGCAGGAGCCTTCACTGCACTCTTTTCTGTGCCTGCTTTAAACATTTTGCTTATGCAAGCCTATTCACCCAGGCAGATGTTGACATGCTTTAGCCTTTCTTGCTGCTAATTTTATTTATCTTTATTTATCTTTAATTTATTTTTGTTGCTTTTCATGTTGACAGTTTTAATACTTCCTGTAAAGCGCTTAGCGTTTTTACTGCAATCAAGTGGTGTAGCAATTTTGTTAAATAAATAACCATATATATAATTTGGCTAAATATTGTTTTGGAGCAGAGTCCTGGTTTCTCTGTTTCTCTCTCTCTCTCTTCTATATAGGTAGACAAGAGACATGATCAGAGTTCAAGGAGACATCCCAGCCAAGGAAGGTGCAGAGCAGGGATGGTGAGGGGTGTGGCTTAGGGAGACGGGTTGTGCTTAGGGAGGGAATGCCGAGGGCTAGATAGAGTAGCTTCAGGGTCCACATTTGGTCCCTGTGCCTGAAGTTCTCCACCCTTGCAAGAGGTGGATAGGATTAGGAAAGATAAGTGTGTGCAAAGAATATGTATAAGAGTGTGTGTGAGAGAGGAGTGAGGTTAGATGGTGAACAGGAGTTCTTTTAGCACTAAGAAGTAGTTATTTCCAGTACATTGTTGGTATGGCCAGGGGCAGATTGGGGGCTGTGCACCCAGTTCTGAGCCAAGGGGGCACTGTTTCAAACCCAGGTTAGTGAGGCATTGTGCTTTGGGAAGGAAGTGTGAGGCTCTGACAGAGTCCTAGAAACCTCCTTCCTCCTTCTCAAAGACTAGTTAGCACTTTCCCAGCTTTCGGAGGCAGGTGATAGGGCTCTAGGACCCTCCCAGAACCTTGCATCTCCTTCCCAAAACACAGTGCCCCCTTACCTGGCATTGCACAGGGCACCATTTACTGAAGTCTGCTACTCGTAGAGCAGAGGGCCTGATCCACACATAGTGTGCTGAGCTACATCCCATTGGCACCCTGTTACTCAGACTAAGCCCTGACAACAAAGACCAGAATGCTGTTCCCCTCTGAAAGTCAACTTAAATTTGCTTCTATAGATATAAATTAGCATGTGGAGATTTTATGCAAAATTGTCATGAGTTTGCGCCCCAAGTCTGTCAAGTACTTAGCTATGAGCTGTTCAGCACTGGAGCCAACTGCCTGTTTTGTACTGAAGTTCTCACCCTGGGCCAGCAGGGGGATACTGTAGATAGTTATGCAAATAAGGGATCGAAAGTGACGTTCAGTGATTGGATAGTTTTAGAAAATTGTTACTGTTACGTTGTACTGGAGCGCTATATAAGCAGGCTGACTGAACCCTTCAGTTCAGTTTTGTTCTGGCCTGTGAATAAACAAGAGCTGTTTGAAGAATCGCTGTGTTGTCTGATAAGTTCACCCACAACTTAACACTGCCCCTGGGAGGTGTTGAGCCCTCCTTCACTGGAGGAATTTAAGGAGATGCTGGACCATCTGCCAGGGATGACGTAGCTGCATTTTGAATTGCAGGTCCTACACTGAGCAAAGGGCTAGGGCTGGTTGATTTCCAAGATCCCTTTTGTGGAAATAGGGTTGCCATATTTTGAAGAACAAAAAAGAGGGCACATCTGACAACTTCTACTTTTAACTATTGATAGCTGTGCCGACTCTCGTTTTAAATACCCACAAAGTAAAGAGCGTGTCCTGGAAAAAGAGGGCATATGGCAACCACTATTTCCAGAACATAGGTATTCATGCATCTGCCTCAGAGGCCATCACATGAATTCATTCATTCAGACAAGATTTAAGTGTGGAAAATGAAGCAACTAGCATAGGTCCAAACCTGATGACTTACAGGTTATTTACAACTCTCTAATTCTATATAGGCCACCCAGACAAAGATGCACAGACCATGCCTCCATTTGTTGGGAAGTACTTTGAGAAACAGAATTGCTCTGCCTTTGAACAGCTGAATGCGAACTTCCTGAGTGGTGAAAATGACAACCATCTCAGGCACAAATGCCTAGTGCCTATTGGGATTGGTAAAATGCCAAGAGTAGGCGGAGCCGGGGCCAATGACAGGCAGGCCCAACTAATCCTAGTGAACTGTCTCTGTCCATAAAGGCAGGCTACACAAAGACTACAGAGGAGGAAGCTGGCAGGCAGTACTGGACTGGTTGTAGATAAGGCAATCAGGTGGGAGGAGCTTGCTGAGGACTAACTGAGGTGTCCCATTCACCCTAATGGATCAGCCTCTACTGCCAAGTAGTGGCTCTTCAGGGTGACTTGCATAGAAGAAGAGACAAGTTTTTAGTCCATTTATCAGCTCTGGCTGCATAAATGTTCCTACTCTCCCACTTCTAAAATTTCTTCCACGTCATATCCCTCTTCTCCTCTCAGAAAGCCAGAAAGCCTGTTAACCTTCACACGGCCTGTCCTGCTTGCAAATTTATAGGCTGGTTGGGAAGAGGTTTCAGAGAATGCTCAAGTTCTGTGGAATCTCAGGGGCAAAGGGCACATAGCCTACTGAGAGGATGCTTGAAAAGCCTCTGATATATGATTCAGCTTCTATGTTTGTTGGACCGAGGCCACCAAAGACATAAACAGCAACTGAATTTCACATCATAGGCATGGACAGTTATAGACATAGGAGGAGGCTACGCATGTTTCTGGGCATGCTTTCCCACTGAAAGGATTTACAGTTGTTGCAAGTTATTTTCTCAAGTAAACATTTTCAAGAACAGCTCCAGGGACATTTCCCTCCCTCTGTCATTTTGGTCAGAACTTTGCATACCTTGAGCCACAGAACCACTCTCCTAACATGGGCATCACTGCAGCTTACCTGGATGGGGCTTAAGTGGGACAGAATGGGGCAATCTCAAATAATGCAGCTGATCCAGTAGGAGCACTGGATTCTATACACCAGTGCATCCACACTGGACCCAACTTCTCACCTGTCTGTCACCTCTCTCCCACTCCCCAGCTCAGTCCAATCTAATATTTATATTAGAAGTCACTTTGACCACCCATAAAGATGGTTCTTTTTATTGTTCTGCTCTTAGTTATAATTCTTCTCCTTCATTTCTATTCTTTATATAAATCACCAAATACTTTATTATTAACCACTGGTATGAAAATTGTTTTAGCTTCATTGTAAAAGATATTTATTATACTCTGCTTCAAAGTGAAGAACACAGTGGGCATATATCAGAGTTTAAAACTAAGTTACAAAAATAAAATCAGGCTGCAGATAACAACAATAATAATGACCAGATGATATCAGTTAACATGTGGAAATTAACCAGCAGAAATAAATTATGATATGGTAAAATGCTCCACTTAGTGAGTGGAGCCAGGAAGGTTTTTAAAACTACCAGGAAATGTTTTGTAGTCCCCCCCCCCCCGATAAGTTCCTGATAAAATCTAGGGTGGTTTATGCAAATTTACTGAATCTCAGACTTAATTTGAGTCATATCTTGTCACAGTTCAGACCTGTATCATTTTAACAGCCCCAGGACTCGGCTGGGGGTGGGGGCATCTGTCCTACTTTACATAAGAACATTTGTTGTTGTTGTTTAGTCGTTTAGTCGTGTCCGATTCTTCGTGACCCCATGGACCAGAGCATGCTAGGCACTCCTGTCTTCCACTGCCTCCCGCAGTTTGGTCAAACTCATGCTGGTAGCTTCGAGAACACTATCCAACTATCTCATCCTCTGTCATCCCCTTCTCCTTGTGCCCTCCATCTTTCCCAACATCAGGGTCTTTTCCAGGGAGTCTTCTCTTCTCATGAGGTGGCCAAAGTATTGGAGCCTCAGCTTCAGGATCTGTCCTTCCAGTGAGCACTCAGGGCTGATTTCCTTAAGAATGGATAGGTTTGATCTTCTTGCAGTCCATGGGACTCTCAAGAGTCTCCTCCAGCACCATAATTCAAAAGCATCAATTCTTCGGCGATCAGCCTTCTTTATGGTCTAGCTCTCACTTCCATGCACCACTACTGGGAAAACCATAGCTTTTACTATACGGACCTTTGTTGGCAAGGTGATGTCTCTACTTTTCAAGATGTTGTCTAGGTTTGTCATTGCACATAAGAACATAGGAAGCTGCTATAGACCATTTTAGACTTTGGGTCCATCTAGCTTAGTATTCTCTACACTGACTGGCAGAAGCTGTCCAGGATTTCAGGCAGGGTTCACTCCTGGGCCTACCTGGAGATGTCAGGGATTAAACTGGGGGGGGGGGTCTTCTGCATGCAAAGCAGGTGCTCTACCACTGAGCTATGCTCCTTTCCCCTACTTCAGAGACAGCAATGCTCTGGAATGGCTGTCAAAGTCCAGGTCCAAATATAAAGAACCCTAAATAATGAGAACAGAAGCCTTGAAGTTGCCCATCACCTGAACAGCAGACCGAGTAGGCACACAGCTCACCTGGCTACAGCCTTCCTCAGCCTAACTAGGGTATGATACAATCCCATTGAGCCTCTGAGTGACACCCCCCCCCCCAGTCATCACTCAAGATTTCTAGGACTGGGCGGGAGATCTTTCAGACCAAATGATATTCTAGGGGGGGAATGACTAGGTTCCAGCACCACTCCTTTTCAAAGTAATGCTCTGGGTTTCCTCCAAGAAATGCATAACTACAAGCAGAAACAGGAATTCCGGCGAGGAATTCCCTGGTTGCATTGTGGTCAGAGCAATTGTTTCCTCTCTTTCAAAAAGGCAGATTTTTGTTTTACTTTGGGTACACACTCTGAAATTTTGCAACAAGGCCTCTCCAGACATCCTTTTTTTTTTTTTTTACTGCACACTCATGATGATTTGTGTCCGTGATGCTCTTGGGGTGGCCACATGCAACTCTGCTTTCAATACTGTTTGTGCCTGCAAAGGTTTTGGGTTATTCACACTGCCTCATTTCCAGCCAATGCATATCATATAACTTCCTGCAGAAATCCCATAACTTTTTATATCACAAATGAGATGGTCCATCCTGTTTAGCCGCCTGAGGCAAAACAGGAAGGAGCTGCCTTGCCTCTGCTGAAGCCTCACATTCTGGGGTTGTGCAGTGGTGGCTTCTGGTGAGGTCTCATGAGATTTCCACAAGACCTTGCCAAAAGCTGCTGCCAAGCAACCCCAGCGGCTGCAAGGGCGGGGTGTGCCCACGGAATCCTGCCCCCCAAGGTGACTGCTTCAGTCCCCCTCACAGGCCACAAACATTCTGATTTATTTCTGATCTGCTGTGGTTGTGCTATAGCCTCTCCAGACTGTAATCATAGAATTGTGAAGTTGGAAGGGATCCTGAGGATCTTCTAGTCCAACCCCCTGCAATGCAGGAATACGCCGCTGCCCATACACGGATCAAACCTGCAACTTTGGCATTATGAGCACCACGCTCTAACCAACTGAGCTATCAGGAGTAGCATTGGGGAAGCATCACAGAACAAACTAAAGCAGAATAAATCCACTACCAGTGCACTATCATTATGTCAAGAACATGATGCAATAAAACACCAGTCTGGAAGGGCCCAAAGTGGTGGTGCAGAGTATACCTCTGTGATGTGTGACCATTCTAGGACTGGTGCAGGCAATGCATCTCAGATGATGCTACCTCTTTCCCTCTGTCAAAACCTAGTTCTCCCTTTGAGAATGTGTGTTGTGTTGAGAACACAGAGAATCAGAATGCCCAGCTGCCTTCCCTTCATGGGCAGCAATTCTGCCCACACTTACCTGGGGGGGAAATCCCATTGAACTTGATAGGACATACTTCTGAGTAAGCCTGTACTCACCATTTTCATTTCCCCAAGTAGCATAACAATTAGAAATAAATATCTTGGGTCGTGTCTAAGTAGATGCGCCCTTACTTCTAATGACAGCTTGTGGTTTTGGTTTGGCTTCTGCCTGTGCAAGCCTTCATCTGAGTTCTTTGAAATGGTGCATAAAGTCTGGAGTAAGGGAGTGTTATTGGCAGTGCCTTATTTCTATGAAAAATGGTGTCGCTACACACCGTGCCCCCCATCTCCCCCACCATCCCGTCGCTGTTTGCTTGTACTCCCTCTGCCACTATCCCACCACCACTGCTTGTCCACCTCCTCCCTCCCTTCCCCCTGCTTCAACCACTACCGCTGCTTCCCAGAGCTGATTTGGTGTGACCCTTTTACAATCACCAAAACACCTTCCAAGAATGTGCCTGGCGATTGTAAAAAGGTCGTGCCAAAGCACCTCTGCTCCCTTTCTGTGATGTTTTCAGATCACTTCCAGGTTCACTGTGATGTGCACATTTGCACACATATCATATGCACCTCAAATGGTTTCTGCATGTATCAGTAACTCTCAGTAATAAGAGGGTCAATGGTCTCAGGTTGCACAGTCTAAAAGTCTCAACATAAAAGAAATGGAAATTGGGAGGGAGGAGGAAAAATGAATATTCAAGGAACCAGCTCTTAGTCACCAAATTCTTACAAGTGTTCTGTCTGGCAAGGGGTGAGGGAGCAAGCTCTTTGGTGCTGGCGCTTCTTTGGCCAATAGCTGGGCCCAGGCTGATCTTCCCCTTGCTGTGATACTCTTCCTGGGAGGCAGGGGGTTTAACTTCCCAGTGGACTTTCGCCCCCTGGATGACGGCACAGGCCAGTGTGTTCTGATTTTCAGCTCTGCAATCCCAACTGGTGCACATGGATAACAGGTTTCCAATAAAGCCTTAAACATCTTTATGCAGAAGTGAGTCCTGCTATTTTCAATGCAGCTTACTCCCCCACTCCCAGTAAACCGTGTGGTGGAAAAATTTGTGCACAAGGCAAAATCAGACACTGTTTTATCCGTTTTCCATTTTATCCGGTTCCCAGTTTGGCAGTGCAGGAAAGCTAGCTGCTAGTATTAAAGCCTTCCCAACAGAGCCAGCCACTCACCGAAAAAGGATACAGTAAGTTCTTTTCATTGGTAAAGCAGTCCTCTCTTTAAGCAGGATCGCCCCCTTCTGGTAATCACATCATCTGCCATGCCAACAGAAATAGTGAATAGGCAGATAACTGCGCAGGATACAAGGCTGAATGCATGAGCTTCTGTCCAGGGAATCTTCTGGAATAGATGAATATGTAAGTTCTGGCCTCTGTCCATTTAAAGTTCTCTCAATTTCTCATTTTTCCAGTCTCAAGTTCGGTTTGCTAGATTTCATTATGGAAACTCATGAGCATTTTAGCATGCATCTCTCCCCATATGCACATTTTTGTATGCAATTTTGTCTAATATACACCTTTTTGCAAATAATATTTTCCCTAATACAATGCATTTTTGAAAGTTAAGCAAAGTGTGTGTTGTTAATATACACTTTCCCCTATTTTTGTACATTTTGCGTTTAGAGATCTGCATTGCAAAATTGAGAAATGTGCAAATTCTGATGGATAGCTGTACTTAACTTTGTGTATTTTTAAAACTATTTCTTTAAGAAAATGTGAATTGTATAGGTTTCCATTAAAATGTAAAAATTTCCCCTTCCCAACTTGTTGGACAACTGCTCAAACTCGCTTAGCAGATTTGCAACTCAGAACAGAACCAGTATTGGTATAATTCACTGGTCCAAAAGCAGGTTTCAAAGAGCAATTCAGCCCTGCCCTGCGACCATTCATCATCAATAAAATGCCTGAATTTTGCTCAATTAATTATTAAATTAATAATTAAATACGGACACCTTCACATATTACAGAAGCAATAGTTTGAAATGGAAGACTAAGCTTCATTTTGAATTAAATTTCTTCTCCACACATGGAAGAAAATGCTTCTTTTAAGGTGGAGCTCATATAAGGACATGTGCTCAAGTAATTAGAATTATTTTAATTTGCTGCATTTTCTTAAGTGCAACATTTAAACAAAGGGGGTAACTTTTGAAACCACCAGATGTTTAATTGATTGATCGATCTGATTATTCAGCTTGTTGCTGAATAATGGTTTCACAATTCTCCCTAACTTCTTCACATCCAGAGGTCACTGAAATAATATCTCTACCAGCTTGCTCAAATAACTGATGTCTCAGATCCGATTATTAATTTGCAGCTTACTAGCTCACTGGGAGCCCTGTAAAGCCATCTCTTTCAGCAGTTGCAAAAGTTGTATAAAAACACCACACTAATGCTGTTTCCCTTTCCTTTTCTCCCACTCCAACCCCACTGCAGGATCTGAGTTCAATTTGATGACTCGTGGCGAAAATATGCAGAGCAACATGACGACATGCAGTGCCACCATTGATGAATTCCGGAGTCAAGTGTACACTACGACGTACTCTATAATCTCAGTGTTGGGCTTATTAGGAAACGGCTTTGTGCTGTGTGTCCTTATAAGAACATTCCAGGAGAAAACAGCCTTCCAGATATACATGCTCAACCTTGCTACTTCAGACCTGTTGTTTGTGTGCACACTGCCTCTGCGGGTGGTATACTATGTCCACAAGGGCGACTGGTTCTTTGGTGACTTCCTATGCCGGATCAGCTCCTACGCCATGTACGTCAACTTGTACTGCAGCATCATGTTCATGACGGCCATGAGCTTCTTCCGCTGCATTGCCATAGTTTTCCCCATGCAGAACCTCAGGTTTGTAACTCGGAAGAAAGCCGTGCTGGTATGCGGAGCCATTTGGATCTTCGTGACACTGACGAGCATGCCATTTCTGCTGAGCGGCTCATACCTGGACAGTTCGAGCAACAAGACTAAGTGCTTTGAGCCCCCGCCAGTAGATCAGATGCTGAAGCTGGTGGTCCTCCATTATGTTGCATTATTTATTGGCTTCATCATTCCCTTCACCACCATCACCGCCTGCTACACCATGATCATAAGAACCTTGCTGAAAAATTCCTTGCAAAAAAAAGAAGCAGCCCGCCGGAAAGCCATCTGGATGATTGTCATTGTCACCTTGACCTTCCTCTTGAGCTTCACTCCCTATCATGTCCAACGCACGGTCCACATTCATTTCATGATGGAAGGGGGTTCGCGTTGTGAGGATACCCTCTACATGCAGAAATCTGTGGTGATAACGCTTTCCCTGGCAGCTTTCAATTGCTGCTTCGACCCACTTCTCTATTTCTTCTCTGGAGGCAACTTTCGCAAAAGGCTTTCTACCTTCCGAAAGGGGTCGGCCTCCAGTGTGTTGCAGGCGCACAAGTTCAAGATGTCCTTAAAGAACTTGGAGGAGGAGCCAGCTAATGGGAAGGCACGAGAAGAGATGGACTTATAGCCTTTGCAGAAGCTACCAGAAAATCCTAGCAGGGTGGGAAGCCAAAAGACCTGGCACACTGCTATCTCTTAAGTTATGAACACGATGGTGCAAGGCAACCTGGAACTGGCATGACCTCTGGTGTCATTCAGATACCTCTGTAGCAGTCAAACCAATCTGAGGTGCATTATCCCATGTGTGTTGGTGGTTTAGCAGATGTGTGGGATGATTTGTCATATTTATTTGCCACATTTATGTCCCACCTTTTCTCCAAGCTCAAGGAATTGTACATGGTTCTCTCTCCTCCTCCTGTTTTATCTACAGAGCAAACCTCCAAGGCATAGCTGTCAACTTTTCCCTTTTCTTGCAAGGAATCCTATTCAGAATAAGGGAATTTCCCTTTAAAAAAGGGAAATGTTGACAGCTATGCGAGTCCAAGGTAGATTAGGCTGAAAGATAGTGGCTGTCTCACAGTTGCCCAGTAACTTTGCATTGCAATCAATCAATCAATATATCCTGGACTGCTTGTGCACAAGCATTTGTGTCCTTTACAGCTTGACTTGCAAACAAGTGGCCTTGTGGAGGCAATGCTAAAGAGTAAACAATGGCTAGATACTGCTTGTTCTAAGATAAAGGGACACTCAGCACTTTTGAAGCACACACATCCCACCCACGCCCCAAAAATCTGGTCACTGTAGTTTACCCCTCACTGAGTTACATTTCTCCTAATTAAGGGAAATGAATTAATTCTTAAGTGTTGCAAAGTCACTATCACATCCTAGTGATCTGATTCTCAGAAAGATCATAGCTATAATTGGGTGAAGAAGGGTGAAGGTCCTCTGGAGAATGGGAAAGGGAATAGGTATAGGAACCTAAGACCCCTGTTGGATAAGGCCAGTGGCCCATCTAGGCCAGCATCCTGTCCTCATTGTGGCCAACCAGATGCCTGAAAGAAGGACCTGAACACAGCAGCAGTCTCCACTGCTTATGAGTCCTATGAACAGGCATTCAGGAACACACTGACATCATGGTTAGTAGTCATTGATAGCCTTGTCCTCCATGAAATTCTCTAATCCTCTTCTGAAGCCATCGAGATTGGTGACCATCACTACCTTAAATATGTGCTGTGTGAAGAAGTACAGTGGTACCTCAGTTTACAAACTTAATCTGTTCCAGAAGTCTGTTCTTAAACTGAGGCGCACTTTCCCTAATGAGGCCTCCTGCCGCCGGTGCCCTTCCACTGTTCAGATTCTGTTCTTAGACTGAGGTAAAGTTCTCAAACTGGGACACAATTTCAGGTTTTGCGGAGTTTGGAAACCAAATTGTTCTTAAACTGGACTGTTCTTAAACCGAGGTACCACTGTATTTTGTTTCAGAGGTGCCATCTTTTCAAGATGATTGAGGGGCTCTGATGTGATGCCCTGGCATCATGCATGTGACACCGCAAGGAGCCAGGGGGCAGAGCCAAATGCCCTCTGAACACTGAGGGGGCCTGGCCCCCTCAAAAACAAAATAAGCATTGGGGGGGGGGGGCTGAAACTGCCTCAACCTCCAGGAACTGGTTCCTATGCTTTGTTAAGTTTGTCTTGAATTGCCAGCATCAGTGGATGTTCCCAAGTTCTAATCTAGAGTTGAGAGAAGGGTAAAAACCTTTCCCTATCCATTTCCTTTCCCTTTTCTACCTCCAGAGCATATATAGCAGGAAAGGGTTGTTTTAGATACACACACCAGTTTTAATCCCACCTCCCAGCGTACTTAGTATAAGATGTAAAGGACTTAAGTGAGGAACCTTTGGCCCTCCAGAACAACAGCTCCCAACATCCCTGGCCATTGGCCATGCTTGCTGAGGCTGATGGGAGTTGTAGTTCAACAGCAGAGGGCTAAACATTCCCCACACCTGTCTTCGGTAGTCCAGTTTCCTCTTCTCACCTACACTATCTTTCCCCTCCCTTTCAACAGGCACTTTGACATTCCATTATATCCTGGAGGCTGACAGAGCTTTCTCAGGTCATCAGCTTGTTTGTTTTTAAAAATGTTCTTATTAAATTTTAATTTACAAATGTATATGCTTCTGCATATCTAGAATTTCAACCGAGTATGTAAGAACCGCTGTCTTATTTCTTCGAGTTGGTGTCAATGAGACTGCTTGCCAAGAAACTGATTAAACTGACTTACATTGTATATCAGGGCTGACCCACCCATCAGGCAAGGTGAGGTGACTGCAGAGCCTGATTTCAATCTTTCCCCCTTCCTTTTTTTTTTTTAAAGCAATTTATTGGGTTTTACAATAGGAATAAATGTAATAAACAATATAACATTCGTCTTAACATAATTTCACATTTTCTTTGGACTTCCTCACATCTCCCGCTCCCACCTTCATCATTATAACATTTTGTCAGCAATTTATCATCTTATTTAAATTCTTATATCTCTTCGATATTTCATAATCTTAAAGTTCTCATAATGAGTTAAACTTTCACAATTTTTCTTGTTTCCTTAAAAATTTCTAAGTTAAGTGGTGCTCCGTTGTTTAGTCCAGCATCTTATTCAGCATTCAGTCAAATCACAATGTTTTTGTAGGTAGTTCTTAAATTTCTTCCAATCCTCCTCGATTCTCTCTTCTCCCAGGTCACGGATTCTGCCAGTCATTTCAGCCAGTTGCATATAGTCTATCAGTTGCATCTGCCATTCTTCCAGTGTGGGTAGATCTTGGGTTTTCCAATGTTTTGCGAGTAGTATCCTTGCTGCTGTTGTTGCATACATAAAAATGTCTGGTCCTTCTTTGCCACCCCTTGGCTGACAATACCCAAAAGGAAAGCCTCTGGTTTCTTAGTGAAAGTATATTTAAATACCTTTTTCAATTCATTATAAATCATTTCCCAGAACGCCTTCACTTTAGGGCATGTCCACCAGAGGTGAAAGAACGTTCCTTCACACTCTTTGCATTTCCAGCACTTGTTATCAGACAGGTGGTAAATTTTTGCTAGTTTGACTGGTGTCATATACCATCTATAAATCATTTTCATTACATTTTCTTTCAAAGCATTACATGCAGTAAATTTCAATCCATTACTCCACAGCCTTTCCCAGTCCTCAAACATAATATTATACCCAATATCCTGTGCCCACCTTATCATAGCCGATTTGACCATTTCATCTTGTGTATTCCATTCCAACAGCAAGTTATACATCCTTGAAAGTATCTTAGTCTTTGGTTCTAACAATTCTGTTTCTAATTTCGATTTCTCCACCTGGAACCCTAGTTTCTTATCATTTTTAAAAACTTCTTTAATCTGAGCATAGTGTAACCAATCTCGCACTTTGTCTTTCATTTTCTCCAGACTCTGCAATTTCCAATTGTCTCCATCTTTTCTAGTATTTCCTAATATTTTGGCCATTTGGCCTCCATATTGGGTCTTTTTCGGGCCTTAGCTTCCAAAGGTGAAAGCCACCTTGGTGTTTTGTTTTCCAGCAAGTCTTTATATTTTGTCCAGACATTAAACAGTGATTTTCTAACAATATGGTTCTTAAAGGCCTTATTTGCTTTAACTTTGTCATACCATAAATATGCATGCCATCCAAAAACATTGTTAACCCCTCCAAATCTAACACATCAGTGTCTTCAAGAAGTAGCCAGTCTTTTAGCCAGCAGAACGCTGCGGCTTCATAATACAACTTTAAGTCCGGCAGGGCAAAGCCCCCTCTTTGTTTTGCATCGGTTAGTATCTTAAACTTAATTCTGGGCTTTTTGCCACTTCTGAAAGCACTCCATTTTGTCCAATACCTGCAGTGTTTGAAATAAAAACAACATTCTTGGCAATACATTCATCTTAATCGCAGCAATTCGGCCTAACAAAGAAAGTTTCAATTTTGACCAACTGTCTAAGTCTCTCTTAATTTCTGTCCAACATTTTTCATAATTATCCTTAAATAGACTTCGATTTTTGCTGTTATGTTTACCCCTAGGTATTTTACTTTTTAACCACATTAAGTTCCGTCTCATTCTGAAACCGTTCTGACTCTGTCTCAGTCAGATTCTTCCCCAAAACCTTAGTTTTCTGTTTGTTTAATTTAAATCCCGCCACCCGACCAAAGTCATTAATCAATTGTAATACTCTTTTCGTACTAGGCTCTGGCTTCTGCAAGGTCAAAACCAGGTCATCTGCAAAAGCTTTTAATTTATATTGTTTCTGACCAACCTGAATTCCTTCCACCAACTGGTCCCCTCTAATCATGTTCAATAGCACTTCCAGGACCGAAATAAATAACAAAGGGAGATAGGGCAACCTTGTCGTGTCCCTTTTCAATTTTGAACTCTTCTGTAACCACATTATTAACTATCAGTTTTGCTTTCTGTTCTGAATATATCGCCTCAATCCCATTCTCAAAACCCCGTCCCACTCCCATCTCTTTTAAGTTTCCCATCATAAATTTCCAAGAAATGTTATCAAAGGCCTTCTCCGCATCTATAAAAATTAAAACAGCTTTTGTATTTATGTCAGTTTGGAGAAGTTCCAAAATATCAATAATGTTCCTTGTGTTAGCAAACAAATGTCTACCTGGGAGAAAACCGGCCTGGTCCTTATGAATTACTTCATTTAAAACTTTTTAAATCTACTTGCCAAAATATCTGCAAATATTTTGTAATCCACATTTAAAAGGGAGATGGGACGGTAGTTCTTCAGTTGTGTCTTTTCAGTTTCTGACTTTGGTATCAATGTGATAAACGCTTCCTTCCACGAATCCGGTGCCCTCTTCCTCCATAATTTCATTGCTAACCTCCATCAAGGGTTGTATCAAATAGTCTTTTAGTGTCTTGTAATACTTGGAGGTCAGCCCGTCTGGCCCTGGAGATTTGCCAAGTTGCATGTTCTGAATAGCTTGTTCAATCTCCTGTCGTGTTATTTTAGAGTTCAGGATTGTCCTATTTTCTTGTGACAGTTTAGATAATCCATTTTTTGCCAAAAATTGTTTAATCTCAACTTCGTCTTGCGGCCCTTGGGTATATAATTTTTTAAAATATCTCTGGAAACACTTTCTAATGTCCACTGGATTCTGAATGTTTCTTCCATCAACCTCTAAATTTGTAACCGTGTTTAATCTCTGTCTTCTCTTCAACTGCCAAGATAGCAGTTTTCCACATTTATTCGCCGACTCAAACGTTTTTTGTTTCATTAATTTGATCTTCCATTCAATTTCCTGATTTATCAATTTAGAATACTGTGTTTGATACAGTTTAATTTCTCTCAGAGTTGGCTGTGACTTTGGATTCACTCTTAATTTCTTCTCTAATTCTTTTATTTTATCCAAAATCTTGTCTTTTTTCTCATTTTGTGTTTTTTTCTTTACTACATTCTGTTGTATCAGAAACCCCTCATGACAGCTTTGCTTGCGTCCCAGACGATTCTTTTTCCACCGAATTGTTCATATTTATCTCAAAATAATCTTTCAAAACTTTTGGGCCTTCTTGGTAATTTCCTGATCTCTAAACAAATTGTCATTCATCTTCCATCTAAAGGATCCAGTTGGTAGTAGTGTCATGTCCATCTTTACTGCGTTGTGGTCAGAACAGGTCTTTGGGCAGATTTCCACTTTTCTAACCCTAGGTGCCAGGCCTCTAGAGATCCATATTTGGTCGATTCTTGTCCAGGTCAGTTGGGCTTCAGAAAAGAATGTTCCTTCTCTACCTAGTGGGTTTTTGTTCTCCAAATGTCGATCAAGTCCATATTGTCAGTCGTTTCAAAAAGGTTTTAGGTAGTCTGCCATCTTTGTAATGTTTTGACTTTGCGACTTGTCCATGTTAGTTGACACGACCCGTTCATGTCTCCCATCATTATGATGTTGTTGTAATCCAGATGATCCAGCATTGTCCCCTGCAACTTCTTGTAAAATTCGATTTCCCTTCATTAGGCGCATAGATTCCTAATATCAGCAGTTTCTCTCCTTGATATTGTATCTCAATAGCCAAAATCCTTCCATGTTCATCTTTAAATAGAAATTTAGGTGACAGGTTCTCTTTGCATATATCACCACTCCTCTCTTCTTCACTTTATCCGACGAAATAAATTCCTGGCCCAATCTTTTATTTATTAACACTTTTCTGTGGAGCCTCGTCACATGTGTTTCTTGTAAGCAAATAATGTCCAATTGTTCTTTTTTTAATATATGAAAAATTTTCTTCCTTTTCTCCGGAATATTGCAACCATTAATATTCCAGCTCAACAGTTGCAGAGACATCCTGGATCTATCTGGTTATTTCTCCTGGGGTGGTGTCTTCTCTTGATCTTCAAGTTCCCGAGGTGGAGGTATTGATGCTGGCTTTGCCTCAGGCCCGGAAGGTAGTTCAATTCCTTTATGTAGGTCCTCTCCGTGTGTAGCCAGAAATTTATCTCTCTCTTCCAATGTTCTAATTTTAACCTTTCTCGCTCTAAAGGTAAAAGACAATCCTTGGGGAAAATCCCACCTGAATGGAATTGCGTTGCTCCTTAATAGTTTAGCTAGTTCAGAATAGGCGGCTCTAAGGTCCAACAGTTGTCTTGGGATATCTTTATATATCTCAATTCTTCTATCCAAAACTTCCAGTGACTTTTCGTAATGTAGGCCCAAAATCTTATCCCTTTCCTCCTTCGATCTCAATGTAATCAAACAATCCCTGGGCCTCTCCTTCTTTATAAATCTTCCAAGTCTGAAAGCTGACACAATTTTAAAGTCCTTTCTTCCAAATTCCAGAACTTGGAAAGTTCTTTGGTCAAAAACTCAGTTAGATTTCCTTCTTCTGCCTCTTGTAATGATCTAATCCTCAAATTATTCTCACGATTTCGCAGTTCTATCATAGAAAGATAAATCTGATGTTCCCCAACTTGTTTGGTGAGTGGTCTTACCTCTTGCTCTAAATTTTCCAATTTTTGTCTGGTATCCTCAGCCAATTTTCGATTTTCTACTGAGGCCTCCGTCAACTGTCCAATTGCTTGTGTATTCTGTCCCACCTGTGTAGTTAATTTGTTTAGACACTCTGTATTTTTATCAATCTTTGCTGATTGCGCATCTACTTTCTTGTCCAAAGCTTCCAATTTTTCAAAGATTTTTTCTAGCACAGAAGCAGATGCTCCTGAGGCCATATCTTCCAATTGTAACTGCTCTACTTCACCCTCTCCTCTTTTGCCTGTGGCAAGGCAGCTTCTTCAAGTTGTACTTCTGAGGGCAAAGTAGGCACAGATGATCTACGTGTCTGCGAGGCTGAGGTTAGATTTGTTAGAGTTGTTTGCCTAACTCTTCCTCTTCTTCTTGTACC